TCTGTTGACTATTTGCAACAAAATGTTTGATGGTTCTGTGGTCACGCCCCAATATCTTAGCAATTTCAAGCATGTTGCATCCCTCCAAAATACTTTTTACAATTTTTGACTTTTCAGAGTCAGTTAAATCTCTTTTTTGGCCCATTTTGCCTGAGGAAAAGAAGCTACCTAATAATTATCCACACCCTGATATAGGGTGTTGATCTTCAGTTAAATCTCTTTTTTGGCCCATTTTGCCTGAGGAAAAGAAGCTACCTAATAATTATCCACACCCTGATATAGGGTGTTGATCTTCAGTTAAATCTCTTTTTTGGCCCATTTTGCCTGAGGAAAAGAAGCTACCTAATAATTATCCACACCCTGATATAGGGTGTTGATCTCCTTAGGCCACACTCTCCCTCATTACACAAATACACATCACCTGATATGCTTATGTCCAATAAGCATTCATGTTTATGCAGCTTGGAGGTGGAAAATATGCATAAAAATGATGTGGTCAAAATAGTCACTTGCCTAATTGTGCACACAGTGTAGTTTGCTAATTGATAATAACCCGTGGAAGCATGTAAGACTTTAAGAATAATTTATGGTTCTGATTCTACTAAATATCTGAGGATATTAATTCTAGCTGTATAGGGCAGATAAAAGAGGATATTAAGAGATGGATTACTTGTGAGTTTGTGAGGGAAAATAAATGTAGTAAAAGGAATATGGCTTCAGGTTTGTCATACACTTTTAGAGAGCTGTTTGTGTTGATTTCTCTCAATTATTTTATGGAAATTGATGTTAGTGATAATTTTTTAATGGAATGGTGCAATACCAAAGGTCTCTCTTTGAAAGCTGCAGCTTTCATATGACAATGGTGCTTTACATTCTCCCAATTTTAAACTTATCATTTGGCATATCTGTTAACTTTTGTAAGGTATTGAATGAAAATGGCACTGAATAGATACTTTATTCAAGTGGGACAGTTATTATTTGACCCTGTTGAATTCTGGCAAGTACTCAGTTCCAATTAGAGTATGAATTCTGTGGTATTTCCAACAATTAAGGTGATTAGCTACATTTGAGTACTAAGATTGATATGCACTTGCTCAAGAAATCGATAGTTTGGAATACCCTATTTTAAAATGGTGGGGCAAATTTTTTAAAAAAAAACTTGAGCAGAAAATGCAACAGTTACCCACAATTGGTTGATTTTCAATGGTACTTTTAAGATTTTTCTAAGAGTACAACAGCAATATAATTTACCTAAAACAGGTAGATGGCAATATATTCATTTAAAGTATTGGCTGCACTCTTTGTTTTATCTGAATACCTTAACACTTTCTGAAACTCTGGTAGCTTTAAAGGTATTGGAAAAGGTTTTTACAAAAGCTAAACAGAGTCAATATGATCAATGATTTAAACATTTCACATAAATAAGTGGATAATATGCAAGAAATTTAAAAATTAATCTAAATAGCAGCTTCCTGGGGTATATAGAAATAACATCTACATCTCTGAGTACTAAAAAATACTCAATATAAACAAGAATGCATTTTCTAATGATCATTATATAATCTCCCTAACTAATGTATAAATAGTAACTGAAATAATTAAACTGGGTCTTCCTGACTAAAACTTGTTTAGAATTCTGGCAACCTATTACGTCCACCACCAATAAAAGTCCAGAAATGACTGCTGAGAATGTTCCTTTTGGATCAGAGAATGTGAGAGGGAACTCTCATATACTGTAGAGTAAGGACGATTACTTTGATGGAGATATGAAGGATGCTAGGGCAACAAGGGGTGTAATATATTTTAAGCCCACAATAGACAGATAATATTCAGAAGCAGCTCAGACACTGAATTCACTGAACTATTAGTAGTAGTAGTAGGTACAACATAATCAGACTCACAAGATTCTGTTGTTACAGCCAATCTCAATAAAAGTGGTTTTAATATTCCTGTGGAGTTGATTTCTTAATCTGGTATACCTAGTGGGGCTGACAAATACACAATAAAAGAGGTGGTCTTGAGCAGCTTTTTCCATATGTTTTTGTCTCTTCTCTTAACAGCCAATATTGTTGATACACATTCAGAAAAGCCAGGTTCTGCAAAGAACCGTTTTAGATACAAGTATTGTGACATCACAATTAACTCCTATTGAATGGACTCATATGAATGTCTGTTAAATTATTAGGTGCCAGTTTAGAGCTGGCATGAATTAAGCTTGTTGGAAGTAACTTACTAAATGTGGAGCTTTGGACTATTTGGTGAAATTTTAAATAATGTTACTTAAGCAGAATCTAACCAGGAACATTCAGATTGTGAAATTTAGGAACTGAAGAAACCTCTGTGCTGCAATTGTGCCTCAGAGATCATCGTTTGCACATGCTTATGATTTGTTCATCTTTTATATACACAGTAATGCAATAATAGGTTCATCTTGATTTCAAGAATGATACAATAGTCTATTACCAAATATGTCTTACTCTCTAAGAATGGAAGGGAAATTTGTTGAGTCACATTTATTCATTTTTATTTAAGCCAACTAGAATGAGTCAGGCAACAAAATTAAAACTTTTCAAATTCTGCAATGAACTTTTCAAATCAACAGAGGTACACTAAATGTGTAAGTTAAGGTAAAGTACAAACAAATAAAAGGTACATCGGAAATATGGATATTGCTGAACTTGCAAACTGGTAATAGGAAGTTAGGAAAATAAAATTGAGGAAAACTAGAAATTTGCCCATCCATCTCAAAAAATGTTTGTATTTTGGATTCATTGAGGATCCTCTTCCATTAAGCTTTTGGCATTCACAAATTGGCAGTTTTTAAAGAGGGATAGAACATGAAAAGGGAATTGAGTCAGGGCTGGGGATAACAATGTGTGTGTTGCCTCTAAGTGTGTGTTTCTGTTCTTCCCTTATGTTATATCTGGGTGGTTGTTGGTCCTGTGCATTCTGGGAAGACAAGGCCAAACTATATACCTTCTACCTTGGGTCATATGAACAGGGAGGGAGGGAGAAGGAAACCCAGAGTGCACCAACTCTGCCAACGTGTACCAGCTGGGCAGAAACCAGGTGGTCCCTCAAATAAACTGGTTCTATGTAGAGCTTTATAGGTTATAACCAGCACCTTGAATCACAACCAGAAGCAGACAATCAACCAATGCAGTTTGCGGAGCAGAAATGTCACATGAGCATACTGAGGCATGCCCATCACTGCTCGCACCACTACATTCTGAACCAGCATGTGGAACCATGATGTCTTCTGCCTGCCTTGTGTGTGTCTTTTCATGGATGTGTTCTGCCAATCTTTGACTTATTTGTCCTACATATTTTTTTCTGCTGTCTTTACATTGTATGTTGTAAAGGAGTCCTTTCTGCCTCCTTTGGCTAATGGGTCTTTGGGTTTGCTTAGGATCTTTGGAAGGATTTTGTTGCTTTGTAGGCTACAGTGATGCCAAGGGGTTGTATTAACCCATTTGGTGCTTTCTGAAATGTTTTGATGTATGGACGAGTTATCCATTTTGTGGGTTGTGATGGTTATGCTACGGTTGTATAGAGAGTAAGGAAGACAATGTTGACGGAGATACAGATTCCATTCCCAAGGCAACAAGTTTCATATAGATAATGTTTGGAAGCAGTTCAGATAGCTTCCTAATTCACTGAACTATAAGGAGGAGGTACAGCAAAATCAGACTTCTGTTATTATAGCCAATCTCAATAAAAATTGTAGACATCCCGTGGAGGTGATTTCATGGACTGGTCTACCTAGTAAGGCTGATAGGTTGGTTATGTGGATCTCCACTGCATTGGAACATGTTATATAGATAATCTATTTCTGGTTTCTGTAGTCCTGAGTTAGTGCAATGCAGTTTTGCTTGTCTGAATAGGGTTCTCATGTAGCTTCTTTTGTGTGCTGTTTGTTGCTGTAGCAGTTGAATACTTGGTTAGCATGTGTTTCTTCATCATGCACCTAGATTGGTAATTTATCATTGTTTTCTTTGCTGATAACATCCATGAAGCATAGTTTGTTACTCTTCTCTTCTACTCTTGTGAATTTGATTCCATCAAAGGTGTTGATGGATTGTCTTGTGTGTGTTCTTTAATTGTTCTTTCTTGATTATAACAAAAGTATCATCCATGTAACAGATCCATATTTTGGGTTATGTGTGTAAGAATAGTGCTACTTCCAAACATTGTATCACTATCTTTACTAGGAATCTGGAGATGGTTGATCCCATTGATGTTCCCCAATTTGTTTATATACTCATCTGTCAAACTGCAAGCATGTGGTGAGGCACATGTCTATCAGTTCAATAAGTCTTGATATTTCAATATTTGTATATTCTGTTAAGGTTTGGAGTGCTCTAATAGATTCTTTCACCAGTTTTGAATCAATGGAAGTGAAGACCACAATGATTCAAATGAAAGCATGATTTCATCTTCAGTTGTTAGATCTTCAATTTTCATGAATGCTGTAGAGGTGGATTATTGGAGTTTCTTGGTGTCTTGAGTTTCTTGGTGAGTTCATTGGCTAAATTGTACGCTGGGGTCCCTGGTAGTGACACAGTTGGGTGAAGTGGTATGTCAGGTTTGTGTATTTTAAGGCATCCATAGAAGTCTTGGAAGATTGGTCCACAGCTTTTCATATGCCATTGTTCTTTTTTTGTTATTTGCCCTGTTTTGGTTAGATTATTGAAGGTTTTCTTGACTTGATTGCCCAATTTCTGTACTGGGTTTATGAGATTGTAAATTTATGACATGATAGCTTTCCTTGATATTCAACAGTGCTTTTGCTTTTTGGATGTACTGTACTCTGTCTATGATAACTGTTGTTCAACCTTTGTCTGCTGGGAAGATTGCGATAGTAGGGTCATTCCTTGGTGTTTTTAGAACCACTCTTTCTTCTGCCCTAAGATGATTCTGTTTCTGTGTCCATCTAGTCACAGGTACAATGATCTCTGCTACTCTCAATCCTTTTCCAGTGCCCTCTTCCATATAGATATATTGGGGGATTTTTTTTTTTCCTCTCAGCCAAATCCAGCTTATTTTTCAAACACAGTTCTTGTTTATGGCTTCTCCCCCTGCTCCTCTCTACCAAACGTGGTCCTGTTTGGAGAATTCTCCTGCTGACAGACATACAAGCAGAGTCCCAAATCTGTTTACATAATTTCTTACCAACATTCCATGGAGCTGGAAAGAATAAAAGGACAGATACAAGTTAAAAGAAGGACAAGTCACTAAGGTAACATACAGATAACTTAGAATTGTAGAGATGGTATTAGAAAGATTATCTTCCAGAATGAATTTAATCTGGCAAAGGATGAATAATAAAAAAAGGCTTATTTGTGCATGTTCAAAATATATACACCCTGCTATATACCAAGAAAGCAAATGCTTGCATTTAATAAAGAAAAGGCAATATTATTCATTTATTTTGGATAAGTTTTTTCAAAGAAAGGTACATGTTTCACTGGACAATTATGAAGGGCAGGATGAAGGAGCAGGATTAAAGCTTAAGGCTGATACAAATACAATCTGAAATACATATATATTTCTTTATTTAACCATCACACTTCCCAAATGACTCATGGTAATATGCAACAAAAATAAAACAATATAACCCTATAAAAATGCATAATTAAAATGGCAATCATCATCATCACCATTAGGTATCCTGCAATTGACACTCATCTCAAATATTAAAAGTTATTTTAAACAATTGTTTTCACCAATTTTCCTAAAGGTCAGGAAAAAGAGCACTGGTGGATTTCCAGAGGAAGACTGTTTGACAGGGCTGGGATCATAATGGAGAACCAAATCTCCCATGTGCCTTTTCTAATTCTGCCTTTTCTTTAATAAATGTTAACATTTGTTATCTTGGCCTATATAGCAGTTGGTATATATTTTGAAACAGGATGTGTAGACCTGACAGATAGGTACAATCCAGTCCTGCTTATGCACCAAGTCACACAGGCCTCTACTGGTTAAAATCTGCATTTTGAGCTGTATCTAGAAGACTATCAGTAATCAGTGAGAGCTACAGCACCTGTGCTATATGCAAATAGTGGCTCCCACCTGCCAGCAAGCAGGCTGCTGCTTTCTGTACCAACTGCAGCTTCTGGGAAACCATATATAGAATGCATTCCAGTAAGTTATATCAGAGGTGATGAGGATGTGAGTGTCACCTAGGCCTCTTTCTCCAGGAAACTTATTTTCTTTGAATGAATTTCAATCTTCAGGTCCAGAGGAAATACATCCAAAGATAGTGAAACTAACTACCCATTTGAGATGTGGACAAAAAGAAAAATAAAACATATTCTGAGCTTGGTGAAAAATTGACAGAAAAAAACCTGGAATGGTTGGAATGTACTGAATAATATGAAATATTTCAGGTGATTTAGCTAGGAGAAACAGTATTATCTTGGGAGAAGCTTCTGGTTCCTTTGTTTCTTACCCAAGGGCCACAAGGGTAGATGGGATATTGTATGCAATCTATCACATGAATTGTAGAAAATTCAGCCCAAAGAATTATTTTTAACATTTTTTAAAACCTTAAAACAACTGTTGGAAACAATTAGAATCCATTCTGATTTCATCTATTGAAGACTCAGTATAAGGTAGAAACTGTTATAAAAAAACCCTGCCTCCTCTCCTCAACAGAGAGGACAAACAGAGGTCTTTCCAATTTTAATAAGCTCCCTGGCTCACTCAGTTACAGGACAAAGAAAACAGATAATCTGTTTGGTATTCTTTTCAATTAGTACATATCCTCTATGAGGCTTACTTAAAGATTTAGCTCTTTAAATGACCAATTTTTCTGTACCCACTGACCCCTCACTTACTACTTAGCAAGATCAAGCAGTAGATCTGGCATTCTTTTCCTTCTTTTTTCCTTGCAGCTTCTCAACCTGGCACAAGCCTAGGAGAAAGCAACTGTGTTGTTCTTTGTTCTGCACATACAGAAGGCTGCTGGCTGCAAAAATAAAAAGGACCACAAGACTATATGAACATCACAAGGACATAAGAGCATGTACATAATATACAATCATGTCAAAGCTTAAGGCCACCATATTTGGTCTGCAAAAATCCAGAGGACCACTAGATAGCAACAAAAAGAACAGAAGACATAAACTCTTTATTGCTACCAAGTGATGTCCAGATTTTTGCTGCCCTACCAAAGCACAACAAACTCTTCACAACAATGTAATATCTTTCCATTCTTAAATGCATCCTGAAGTTTGTTATCCTCAGGCCACAACAGCATATACAGAGTGGACATGTAAATCAAAGTTTAACAAGGTAGTCCTCGTTTAGCAACCACAAGTGGGGCCTGCAACTCAGTCATTAAGCAAAACCGCAACTGTGCTTATGATCTTACTTCAGCTTTCGTTTGCTTTTCAGACTTGCGAAGGTTTTAAATGTGAGGATTGGTCACAAAGTTACTTTTTCATCACTGTCGTAACTGTGAACAGTCACTAAACGAGGCAGTTGCTAAACGAGTACTACTAACATTGTACTATCAGTGTTTTCATTTGGACCTCCTCAGCAGCATTAGGAATGCTTGTGGGTGAAACACAGCTGTACTTACATACAAATAGTTCTGCATTATCTGCAAGCAAAATAAAGAACAACACAACACACATACCACCTACTCATCTGCCCACATGAACCCTACCAGTTTCATAGCATGCAGCTGTGAGTGGTCTTCTGCCTGCCTTGTATTTAAACTGCATCTTCTCAACATTCCATTCTAGTATTTTTCATCCAGTCTGAACCAATAGCGTAGGTCCAGAGGCATCCATGGGGAGACGGCGGGGAGGGGAATGATGAAAGCTCCACCTCTATTAAACCTGCATTGTGACATTACACACCTGTATTGAAAGGGTAGTGTTTGTATCACAATGCTGCTTTTGCATTTTGATGAAAACTTTCAAACCAGCAGATGTCTCTGAGCAGGTCCCTGCTGCTGTATTAGTTAATTGGTTAAACTAGAAAAAGTTGGCCAAAAAAAAAAAAAAAATTAAACTAGTTACAATCCACAAGACAACAGCCCGGTGTAAGTGCATTTGGAACAATGCTGCTTGAAACAGTCAAATTTTGCTTCATGCTTAGAACAAGTGTTTGTTCCAATGGCAAAACAGAACTCTTCAAATACACATTCTGTTTCACTATCAGAACCATTTTCACTATCAGAAACAACCATTTTTTCAACTAAAACATCTGGCCTATCCTTACTGATGATAATCTAGCACCTTTCAGCAACTCTGGAGAACAGGTGAAGTCCCAGATAGCCAGAGCAGAGCTAAAAGAAAAACCCAGGAAACTACAGAGCAGCCAGTCTGACATTGATACAGTGAAACCTCAATTTAATAGATCCCTCTTTACCAAAACTTGGATGCAGCCAATCAAATTTCCATCTGTACATCCCCTGGATATAACACAGAACTCAGCTATAGTAAAGGCAATATTTAATAGACAGTAAATACCTATTAAATATATTTGCGAGTATTGGACACTCTTGTTCACTCCAAATGGTTTAAAGCAGGTTACACTGTATGTGGGAAGATTATTTCTTGGGAAGATCTCATCATAAAAAAGATAAGCATGTAATATTCTGAAAATAATGCAATGATTACCTGAACTGAATCCGTCTTGCACTCGGAAATTTGTCAATACTCCTTGATGTTTTGAGCAAGATTCCTTTCTGGAACAGGTCGGTTTCAATCAGTACCAATAATCTGTTTGGCCCTTTGGTTCCTACACTATATGTCCTACAGGGATAGGTCCTCTCTTTGTTCAACAACTAGGTAAAATGGATTACCAAAGGATTTAGGGTGCGGCAATATGACGACACTCTATTTCATCTTTTTTTCCTTCAAAAGCAGGTAAAGCTACACACCATCTGAGAAAGATTCGTCATTACTTGAAAGCTTCAACCAATTAGATTAGTGCCAGGAAACAAGACTAAATCCTAAGAGAGAAATTATATGGCTTTATGATTCCTAAGTCTGCCAACTATGGGAATGGAATAGGGTGACAGCTGTGATTAAGAAAGATGAGAAAAGAAGATAGAGCTTTATTTTGCAATGAGCACATACAATTTCACTAAAGAAATTGGCTTCTCTATGAGGTAAAGCAGCAGCTGTGAGAGACATGATCCAAGCAAGTGGGGCAAGATATCCTAGTGGAAGAGAAGAAGAAAAATGTTGGAGAATATCAGCATTGGTGTGAGGAGTTTAGGATGGGTTTATGTTGATAGAAAGTAATACAAGCAGACTAGCAGCCTGAGTGAATCTTGCTTGTGGTGACTTTTCTGTCCTCCCTAGGAATAAACCTTAGGGTACTTTCTCAAATTGTAAGAATCAGCAACTGTATCAGGGCAATAACGCTGTGTCTCTTGTAAAACGTGAGACCATGTTTCTTTTTCTTTAATTGCAAACCATGCATGGCATTTACCTACTTCAGGGAAAACGTAAGTACACAGATATGAATCTGCTTGTGGTTTGGCATTTTCAAATCCTTTACTGCTTGGGACTTTAGTAGTTGGAGGGCTGCCTGCTACCATAAATTTGAGCAAATATAACGTCTGCCAGCAGAGGAGAGGCAGATTGCAACAGCGTCATAGTTTTTTGGTTTTTTAGTGAAGATTTTCAGTGTATGGAATATCTTTCCTAGAGAACTTCATCTGGTGCCGCTTTATTTTATTGTATTCTGTCTAAAATAGCTTTATCCTATTTTTTCTACTTAAAAGCTACTGAAAGCAATTTTAAATTTAGGCCCTAGATTAAGAACATGGTCATTGCCCAAGATTTAAGTTTCTTCTTTAGGAGAACAGTGAAGTTGCTTTTCATCTGAATTTTTTTGCCTATTAGTTTTTATAATTGTTCTATCTAATGTTTCATATATAAACTAGGGCTACCACATTTGGGCTGCAAATGACCAGTTTTTTAAAAATCTCTTTGCTGCCATCTAGTGGTCATTCAGAGCTTTACAGCTCAGATATGATAGGCCTAACTAAACTGTAAAAGAGTTCTTTGGTGTTGACAGTATAATATGAAGAATCATTCTGATCTACTAATAATTGTTAACTAGACACCATGGATTTCTCAACAAACCATGGCTGAAATCTAACATTATCATAAAATCTGAATTAGAACATTATTTGTTTAATTTATTGCTAAGGTTTGTTTTCATTTCCATAAATTTGTTTTATTGATATTTAATGCTACATGTTCTAGAGATTTTATTTAGCAGTGAAGTAGCAGGCATTTTAATACCTTAAACAGAAATGACATTAAATCCAAAACTGTCCTGTTGTGCAAGAGTTTGAGTAATCTCTTGCCGCTAGTATTGCCACAGGACTAACTTGAGTTATATTTTTCAACATTTTAATCATTACAATTACATACAGTAGGATTGTAAGTCACTCAGAGTTGGTCAACAACTGGAATTGCATAGAAAGCTAGCAAAATGAATACATTTACTGAAATATCATTAACAAAGAAAATATGTCCATGTTATCTATAGTGGCAAAATGCTGGATTTTGTGTCTACTCTGAATAACAACATAGACAGTCAAGAATCTTAAAAGCTCGTCCATGGTTTCATCAATTTCCTTTATTTTTAAATGGTTTTAATTGTTCTTACTACTGGACCTAAAAGGTGCTGAATCCTTCATTTCTGACTTTGGAAGAAGCAGGCAAGCAAAAAATTAATTATAAAAATAGAAGAAACAAAGTACACATTCTGGCTTTCATCTATATTAAACAGAAAAAGTTTAATATACATATTAAAAGCACTATTTCGCTACATAAAACATTGTCTAGGCAGTTTTATTTTCTAAATCTGAAGTATCTCTATCAGCAGCTTCTAGTTCTTCTGTTCCTTTTTTAAAAAATAATTTTACTAATTTTTATTTGAAAATAGGTTTTCTTGTTCTGAGCAAGAATCTCTACCCTCTTACATGTTCATTTAATTCTTGATTTGGGTGAGCATTTTCAAATTTAGGCTAATTTCCTTCATATCTTAAACATTTCATGAATCATGTAAAATAACAACAGAAAAAAGATCCAGTGCATCAGGGGGAAAAAAAGCCTTCCCAACTTTGTCCAGTTTGTTTCTGGGGCTTCATATCTCCAGCCACTTCAAGTGTTTATCATTCATATCTGCATAGCTAATCATGACTTTCCTAAATGTAAGTCAGGCTCCAAAGATTGATACAGAGAATACACACCCAGAGTACACCAAAAAGATCCTATCAAAGGACTTTTGCAATTTATTGTCCTCCAATAAAACTCAAAGGATGGGTTCACATGTCTTGTTTGGCTTAGTGCAGCCTTCCTAAACTGTGTGTCCTTCAGATGTGTGACATTCAACTTCCAGGATTCTCCAGCCAAAGTGGCCATTGATGAAAATTCTGGGAGTTGTAGTCCACGTAACTGGACAGTGTCAGGCTGGTGTAGTCTGGCTTAGTGGAAATGTGAATCCCATATATAAATCAAAATACCATGGTTGGTCCAAAACCAGGATTAGCATAATGAGTGAAGCAATACAGGGACACAATTTATTTAGAGCCTGATTTTCATTAACTCTG